AGGAAAAGAGATGCTGTGTAAGCAACATAAGCGACAAATAGAATCCTTTCCAAAGTAAAAGTTGATTGTATAGTGACAATTTGTAGGGCATCATTCAGTCGTGTTACTCATTTGTCCTGCTACAGCTGCTGGGGGCTATCTGAAAGTCGCAAAATGCGCTGATGAAGTTGATTTTAATCACGATGATGATGACAACGACAATCGATTGCACTAAGCACATATCATGGGTGGTGTGTATTCTGTTTAGTGTGTGTTTCATCATCTTCCTGCTGGCTACTGCTGTTTTTTTTTTGTATTTTGTGACAATTTTTTTTTGGTTATGTTTTTTTTTTGTGATCAGTCTTTGCTTAAAGTGGGCAACTTTCCTGCTGCGATTTAGTGTGTTCAAATTCAAATACACTGGTTTTTGGGCGCCAGTTAGGCGAGACCGAGCTTATTAATAAACATGAGCCAGCCATAAAAACCACAATAACAGAAACAAGCAACGGCGCCAAAGAAGCAAAAATAACAATCCACAACTTCAGCAGCACCAACAATAGCAACAGCAGCAGGAGCGAGGTCGAGTTCAACATTGCGTGAAAAATCAATAAGTTGTGCCCCCCTCAGCCAACTAAACCAACGCCAGCAACTTGATATAGACGCTTACATTTAAGTGGCGAAAAAAAATTCGGCAAATTACACTCAGCTGAGTGTTCCATCCTTGCCAAACTTTAAATTGTTTGATTATAATGTATAAAATGTGGTTTACATTAAAAAATGTATACATAAAAACCATTCCAGTTTATATTTAAGTAGACAAATAAGAAATTATCATAGAACAATGAGGATAGTTGTGAAACAAAATGTTTTGATCCTGATAGAAGTCAGGGTCAGATTGCCAGGGTTTCCAAAAGTCGAAGTGACATTTTGGAGGCCATCAATAGTCCTGTTTCTAATAAGATTTTTGGCAAATTTTGGAGATACATTCGGTACACTGTGCGGCACCTTGAAAAAACAATGCCCCACTGACAATTGGAGGAAGTGGAGAAGCGAGGCGCAGATGTTGCAAGCAACAAATGGCCATATGTTTAAGGTTACACTAAAAGTTGTTGCTGCTATTTGTCTTGGGCGCTCCCAACTCCAAACTAGTTTCACAAAGTTCAGCCAGACAACTTTTTAGAACTTAAGTGACTGACACAGATGCAAAAACATATACGAGATACGAACCAGAGAAAGCTGAGCTGTCCAGCTGCATAGACCTGCAAGTGTAGTATTTTTTTATTTAAATTTCTAGTTTGTTGATGAAAACTGAAATAATAATATCCCGATTCTGACTCCTGCAAATACATATACTCAGCGAAAATGAATTCACTTGCTTCCTTTTCCATAAGAAATTGGTAATAGAATTTTTGAGAACTGGGAAACAAGGAAATGCATTAAAATAATTGGAGGGTAGATTACGAGGAACCTGCTCCAAAGATTGAGATTGAGAAAATGTATGCATCACGCCCATTCTCGATCCTAAAAATCGTCCTTATTGGCTGAGCTTGTCAATGAGATTATGCTTTTCAGCCGTCCTTAACACAAAATATATCAGATTTGCCAAAATTAAAAAAAAAAAAAACCGAAAAACTGTGTTTTTTTTTTAGAAAGAAACTAAAGCTATTCCAAATGACAAACAGATTGATTTATTTATTATTTTCATCGGTGAATGGACAAAATTTGAAAGCCGCTCGAACCGAAAATGGTGAAAAGCCAGTCAACCCAAACTATTTTGAATAAGTTTGTACGTGTTTGTCTGTAAACATGTATGTGCATCTGAATGCATAGATTAACATCGAATTGCTAATAACCGCAAAGAATATCAACACTTGGGTATTCTAAAAAAAAAAAAAAAACAACAAATAGCTGTGAACGCATTGCGCGGCTATGCAACGACAGCAACAACAATTTGAGTGTGTGTGTGTGTGTTGCACATTAGACAACAAAATAATAACAACAACAACAACAGCAGCAGCAGAAGCAGCCAATGACAACAAAAAAACAAAGTAGGTCACGCTGAATCACAGAGGCGTATAGTTCGTCTGTAGAGAGATACGTGAGACCAGCGAGTCCATTGTGAACTGAATGTTGCACGACTTCAATGCGCCCCGATTACGTCCCGCCCAGTTGCCCACTAGCTAAACACACTTAGTACATATGCATAGATATATACATGTGTCTCTTGTAGAAAGTTATTCAAAATATATGAAAACGCTTAAGTTCAAAAGTAAGTTATGACATTATCGCAATGCGGCAAATGTAAGAATCGTCTTTTGGTTAAATGCTCCTCCAATCCAATGCTTGTCTTTTTAAGTTGCCTACGCCTTCTTCTTACCCTGATTCCTTCATTTTCAAATTTAACAAGACACATAAGGGATATATACATATACCCATCTATGCAATAAATATATATATATAAGGTTACATATATACCTTGGGCTTGAACTCAAGGTACTTCCTAGTCGAGCTCTGTCTGCTGTAACTATTTATTATGCTTGTTGTGCGTACATAACTTTAATATCCACTTAAATGCGTTTAATTATCTTTATAAAAGGTAACGTGCCAATTACATTGGCTGCCATGGAATTCGTTATTATTGATAGTATTTGTTAATAGCTATGCATGTTTATGTAATATTCAAATTTTTGTCTGTCAATATAAAATTGTCTTCTTCTCTTCGTCAAATTGTTAATCTTATAAATTAAGCAACATGGTTGAAAACTGGTTTTTTGAACCCAATCGAACCGAAGCCAAAACACACACACACATTGTTAGTCGATTTTATTATTTAACTACCAATTATTCGATCAATTTTACCAATTAGCCAAACTCTTACTCTTAAAACCGTTTATCATATTTTTAATGGGCGTCTTTCGTTGAAAGAAATCATTGCAAATGGAAAGTGGCGACAAGCATATTTCAAATGAATGTATTGAAATCAAAGTGTTGGCAGTTCACATATTGCATATTCATATTGCATCGAATAAAACCAATTGGAAAAAGGCGACATGTTTGCAGGCAGTGCAGGAAGCAATGACAGCCTAACTAAGAAAAGCCACCAAGCAACAGACTTGATCTTCATCAGAAACAATTGGGCCAGGCTGGCATAAAGCCTGGTCTGGTGTTTAGTGTATAGCAACAGTGAACCGTTTGACTTGGAGTTCGACATCATTACGTAATGTTCATAGCCTGGCTTATGCATGCGATTATATATATATATATCTATACGTACACACATATATAAATTTTAACATTCGAAAATGTGTATGTAATCGTATATTCTAAGCATGCCGGACCATCCGGTCAAACTGGTTATTATTACTACCTGTCCGTACACTTGCCAACATAATAATGATCTTCGTCATCATTAGGAACGACGTCATGGCCCAAAAAGCGTGCACTCACTCACACACACACACACACACACACACACACATTTCCCACTATTAACCCATTTGACGCGATGTAAAATACATGAATACAAATTTACGCATTGCCAACTATTGCAGAAGGTTACAAACTGGGCCCAAGTGAGAGAAACAGAGAGAGAGAGAAAGAGAAAAAGCAATTTGACATCTGTTGCTGTTGCTGCTGCTGCTGCTGCTGCTGCTGGTACTGCTGCGTAGGAAAAACTATTTTCGGTCGGCTACTTTTCATATTTTCAAGCAGCACGTCACGCACTTCATTCCGGGCCAACTTGTTTTCGGAATCACAAATGAGGTCATCGTCCAAGCGCGTTAAAAATGAAATTCCGCATTTCGAAATGACTTAATGCAAGTACAGGCGTTAGTATAATAAAAAGAAAAACTTCACAGAAAGTAACGTATAAAATACAAAATAAAAAAACAACAACAACAAAATGAAACGTGTTTCTATGACGAACAGGTTCTAATCGACCATATAGAGAATCACATAATAAAACAATAAAATAAAACCAACTTGAATTTTTGACATGTGCAGACATGTGAGTCATTTCAATTCAAATGATGTCACAGCATCAATATGATTAAACGGGCGAGCAAATGCAACAAAATTTGCACACTCTAATATAATTAAAGTATGAATAAACATATGTATATATGTATATACTCGTATACCCTCAAATAGATATACATATGTACATACATACATATATATATTTAAGAGAAGCCAACAAGCATTTCATATTTATTTTAAGCACATTTATAAAAAGAATCAACAACTAAATTACGGAAAGCTCGTAGGAGGAAAATGGATCGCCAAGATTTATTACGCCCTGTGACCTGTTGCCTTAAAGCGCCACCTGGTGCACAGAAGTTTAGTAATGCGAAATATGTTTGTGCAATTGAATTGGAAAGAACAAGAATAATCCTTAAAGACGGAGCTCAACTTACAGATACCCTGTCAGCAAATCTTTAACTAACCCAGTTACATATTTTAGCTCGCGTTTCCTACATATTTCTACGACTTTCTACTGGAAAGTTATATACAAAAAAATAAATAAATTCAGCTTTTATGGCTATCGGTAAATGGTACTTATTTTTATAGTTCACTAATAAATTAGAGCAATAAATGATAAGATAAATAAATGCATATGCCATCTAGGCGATCTCTTTCACTCTGCGCATTATTTTTGGTTCGAGTTGCGTGATACGGAAATCATCAAGTTGTGTAAAGTTTCTCGTTTTTATGTAAAAATTTAAAATATTTCTTACGCGACGTCCAAGAAATTCAAAAGAAAAGCACACAAACAGACACACACACCCATCAAAATACATGAACATTTTTCGAAAAAAAATAGAGGCAAACGATTTTTGATTCAAAAAATTCTTGTTTGCCATGCGTCTGCTTAAAGTTTATTTATGTAAATTGCCAAACGAACACACGTATATACAAACATATATTATATAGAATTTAAAATTTGTACGAGTTCAGTAAATGTAGATGTTAACCATAACCAAAACATGCATAGCAAGCATGCCAGGCCAATGTGTACTTACTCCGGTTCGGGTTGTCCATCGGCCTCGCACTCAATAATGAATGGCTTGTCGCTCTCCTTGTTCTGTTGCGCCACCTTGAAGAGCAGCTCATCTGTGGGCGGCTGTTTGCTTATCCGTGGCGGGGAATTGTCTGTGGAGAAGATTTGTAAATGAAGACAGAGTCAGAGTCTTGCTGGGAATGTGGCTAGCCTGTGTTTCATTATTTTTTTATCTCTTCACTAATGCGCCACATAAATTAGGGCACATTCGCATTTTCCACGCGTTTAAGTCAACATAATAAGTTGTTCGTTTTCGCTGTTTATTTTTATCAATTGGTGTCGCAGTCGATAGCTATTTTTATGGATCAGTAGTCCATTGGGAACTGCTGGTGCATACCCAGGAGGGAGAAGAGAGTGGCTTCGGTAGGCTTTACGCCACAATAAATTTATTCAAATAGAGATTGTTTGAAGTGGGGCAAGGCTTCATTTAAAACGCTTTTAAAGAAAATCTATCTAAGTGGAATATCTATCAATTAATTTTGTTAAGCTAAGTATGAATTTGCTACAAATGTGTGAAAGATAAGTCTCAATGCCTCAGCTGATTGACAGATTTATTATAGATAGATAGATAGATAGATACTTACTCGTTGCCGTTGCGCTGCCCAAAATGGCAGCCAGTAATATCGCGGCCAGCATCATTGACTGCCGCCTCATTTGAGTTGCTGTTCAACTGCACTTCAATTGTTGTGGTTGCAGTTATCTATTCGCGCACACAGACACAAACGCACACTCGCAAGTGCCCCGTCCGTGTGGCACACTCGCTTCTAGACCTGGAATCTGCAACAACCTCCGCAATTGTATTGTCAATTCCGTTGTGTTGCGATTGTTTGTCTGTTTGGAATGTTTTTTATTTTTATTTATATTTATTTTTGTTTTTGTTTTGTTGGGATTCTTTTTCTTTTTTTTCTTTTATTGTTTGCGCTGAGTTCTCACAATTTTCGCGCTAATGAAAATTGCATCCAAGTGAGCGTTTTCCCTTTTGCAAACACAATAGCTGGCAAAGTACAAAAATAAGAACACATTGAGCAACTTTTTACACTTAAATGGCATATATACATATACATGCCATATACATATGTATCTGTATCTAATATGCACTTGGCTGCTAGTAAAAGTTTATCACTGTCGGTTTTTTTTATTATTATCGTTGTCTGTCTGTCTGTCTGCAAAGAGAAGAAGAAAACATATATGTTATTATAATTATTATGCAAAAGAAAAAGAAGCTAACTATTTAATTTACGCGCGGTGAAAGGAGCCAAATTGGGTTTAAGTGATGTGAATACAGAAACAGTTCTTTTCCTACTCATTTATTTAGTAAAAATTCATGGCTTATATACCAAAATATCTATGTACAAGTTGACCTAAGCAATCAATCCTTATCTATGCGCTAACAAATGCAATGTCTTAATATTATCTACTTATTCACATGCCGCCCGAATTAGCAAAATGCCATATCTAAGTGCAGCCCATGGGTCGGGTGCATCTTTGCAAATTTTGTCTAGGAGCTATCTGCAGCAATAAATTTTCTGTACTTGACGAAATCGTACAGCAACGTTCTGACTTGCTTTATTCGATTTAAGCAAACCACGACTTGAATATCGATTATTGCCGTTATTACTTTTCCGTAAGCCAGCGAGAATCGTTGAGAAACAGAGAATCGATAGCGACACTGCCCCATCGGAAGTGGTCAGCGAATAGCAAGGCATAAGGCAAAATAAATAGCAGAGCAGAGTAAAACGCTTCAGCCGAGAGATTGACTAGTAGATATCCTGTACCGAAGACCTCACTTTAAGTCGTACACGTCTCTATTTATTTATTTGTTACTTCGTTCGATTTCGATCATGATGAAATTTTAACACTTGAAGTTACATTATGTCAAGTTATACTCCTAACGAATTAAAGGGCGTTTTAGTTTCAATCAAATAATCAATTTTGATTGATAATAGAGAGATAGATTGATAAAATTACAAAAAGCTGATCTACTTAAGGTATTCGATAACTCATATTCCAAATCTAAGGTCTCTAAGGTCTGACTGTCTCTGACGACTCGGCTGTTGCTGCTGACCTTAACTAGATATACCTTATGGTGGGGTCGAAGACAAAACTTGATTAGACCCTTCTTTCCATCGATTCTGAATGGGTAAACTGTGTTGTGGGTGCCTGCCAGTGGTTCAGTGCGTCGTCATAGACCTAATTCCAAAATCCGTTCAATGGAAAATGTGTCAAGCGAGAATGCAGTGAATGCAGAAGGCAGACACAGAGACACAGAGACAGGGAGACAGGGCCAATAAGAGACAGACAATGGCCAGTTAGCATTGGAACGCCACAAAAAGACGGGTTAGAAGCGAAAGCTAATTAAATTAGCGCTACACGGGCAATTCTTCTCAAGCTGCGAGCTGTCTGTGCACGCGCTCAATGTGCCGCATTTCAGACTGGCAACAATGTTGAACTGCAACGGACGTTGATCGTAATTTGGCATTTGGCAATTTGGGAACCACAAACAGCCAACACCAGCACCACCAATGACCCATCTACAGCAACAGCAACAGCAGGATCTACAACGGGAGCCACAGCAACGAAACAATCACAGTCAGCACGGAATTATGGATTTACGCAATCTTTGCCAGCGTCTCGATGTGGAGAGTCTAAAAGGTGAGTGTTGCGTTAAGTGTGAAAGTCAAGCGCAAGTTTTGATCTTTAATCATTGATTTTCTTATCGAAAATCTGTAAAAAGGCTAATATTCTATCCAAAGGGGGGCAAAAAAAGTGATAGCAATTAATTTGAAATGCACAAAAAAGAGGAAAATAAAGGCTAGAAATGTTAGAATTGGACCTAAATTGAAATACACAATAAGGAGAGAAAAAAATAAGGATATATCTAAGATAATGCTCTAAAGCACGAGAGTGCTGTCAAAAAATGTTGATAGCATATTAGTTTGTTTCTCTAAGATTAGGTTAGGATCGGTAAGATGGCCCGTCGTTTTGGTTCATTGCAAGAGACTGAATCAAAGATGAGTTCAGTTCATTTAAGAGCTGCATCAAATTGAAATTTGTCCACTTATGTGTTCTTATTTTGTCGCACAGGCAAACTGGCATCGCTGCCACAGTTGCGTTTGCCCAAATCGTTGCCCAAAATGCGCGCTGCGCGCCGCATCTTTTGCAGTTCGCGAGGCAACAATGCGAGCGGCAGCAACAAGGCTGCAACAACGGCAGGTGAGACTGCTGTAGAGACGGAGCAAGTGCCGGCGGCGCTGTTCATCAATCGGACACCGCAACGCATATCCACAATTAGCTCACTGATGCACGAGCAGGCCACGCTGGGCGCCAATCGCGGACAGATGGCGCCGTCATCCTCCAATCACCTGGCCGCTGGCACCTATTGCAGCGCTGGCAGCCTTGATGACGATTACTATGCGCCATATGGCAATACACGCGTCTCCCGTCCAATTAGTCCCATTAAAATACCACCACCACCAACAGCAGAAGCAGCTGCCACACGAAATGGCGGCAATAGTCTAACGCAGCGGCTGCAGCGCGGCTACAAGAATCTGAGCGAGCTGCAGCTGAAGCATCTGTTTGCCAAGGAGACGATTGTACGGCGGGATGGCATCGAGGTCGATCGCTATGTGGAACAGTACGAGGCGGAGCGACGCGTTGAGAAACTGGCACAGGAGCGTCGAGATCGCGAGATCGCCGACAATTATGATATACACATTAGAACGTTGCCGCTAACCAGGCAAAATACGCTCAAGGATCTGCAGCAAGAACAACTTGCAGAGACTGCTCGGCATGAGAGTGACGATGAGAGTGGCATGGAGGAGGCAATGTCAGCGCCAGTGCCACCGACGCAGCGTAAGAAATCGGGCATAGCCGCAACCAGGTTTGCCAAGGTGCGACAGCCGCCGCTGGAGATGCCTGTGCAGGAGCAGCAGCAGCATCAGCAGGAGCAGCAGCAGGAGCAAGGCCAGCCACCAATACGTCGAGCGATGCGTCAGAATTTGAAACGTCTGCGCAAATCGATCAAGCGAGTGCATCAGCATCAACCCAAACAAGCCGTCGACAAGCAAGCAAGCAAAGACCGCGACGACGTCAACGATGACGAGGAGGAGGACGGGGATTTGCCTAAGCCATCTCAGTCAGGCGTGGCGGGAGGAACAATGCGTGCGCGTCTGCGTCGCTTCACGTCCAGCGAGCAGCTGCAACAGCGTTGGCGCAAAAGCTTTAAGAGTAGCAGCGAGACGCAGGTGGCCCAAGGAGCCCAAGGAGCAGCAGTTGGAGCAGCAGCTGGCGCCACATTTGGCATGGGCATGATGCACAAATTGAACGAGAAGATGCAGCAGCTCAAGTTCTTTCGGCAACGTGGCAGCGGCGACAGCAGCAAGGACAAGCCACCAGCAGCGACGCAACTGGGCGGCAATAAACTCAACACAGTTGGTCAAGAGCCCGCGGATATTGACGACGACGAGGAGCTGGCGGCAACCTATCACCACAGCGATGACAGCGACGACAGCAATGGCAGCGACGACAGCGGCCAGGATGTGTGCGCCGATGAGGCATTCGGTCAGCTGGATGCCGGCGAGCAAGTGAAACGGGAACGAGAAAGAGATCGACCCACAATCGGAATGTTGGCGCAGCTGCAGGCGCACTCGACAACAGCTTGGAGCAGCGAGTCACTCGAGGAGGAGGATGCGGCTTTGGGGGGCCAACAGCAGCTGGCAGCAGCAGGCGATTATCCGCGCGTGCTCATCCATCAGCAGCACACAGATGCCTACGAGTCTACACTGATAATAGCTGTGGCCACAACTCTAACGCCGCCACCAACAAGAGACAATCGACACCAATGGGTGTCCAATGAGCAAATAATCGCTGGCTTCAAGGAGCAACAGCAGCTGACTGCACAAGCGTGCAACTCGTCTCGCGTTTGGCCCGGACCGGCTCTGTACAAGCCCAAGAGCATTGACATCTTTGAGAGCGAAGGCGGTCCCGCTGGCGCCTTTGCCGACTTCGATGAGGCACTGCGTAATGCGCCCGTGCTGCGTATTAGCGCCGGCAGCAGCGAGGAGGATGCGGATGACAGCAGTTCGCGTGTGACCAGAATACGAAGGCAGACGCCTCAGATTGGCAACAGCTGCGAAAGTCTCATGGAGCAGCAGCCCCTGGAGGAGGATGACGACAATGACAACAATGGTAATAATGAGGATATGGACATGGATATGGAGATGGATGTGGATGTGACTGTGGATGATGAGCAATTGGAGCTAGCGGAACGCCCACCATCGGTGTCTCCGCCACCGCCACCATTGCCGCAGCGTCGACCTCCGCCGAGCATGATGGCGCCCATTTATGATGCAGTGCCGCCGCCGCTACCCATCAGCAAACCACCTTTGACAATAGTAGCAGCAGCAACAGCAGCAACAGCAGCTCCAGCTCCAGCTCCAGTTCCGGTTGCATCACCTGCAGCAGCCAAATTGCCGCAACGCAGCGTTTCCATGACGCATCCGTCTAAGCCGCTTGTGAAAACCAGTTCGCTGCGTCTCACCTACAGGGAGCAAATGCATCCAGGCGATGTGGGCAAAGTCAATAAGCTGATCTCACGTTTTGAGGGCAGACCCCGACTCTGTGGCCGCCGACTCCACAGCGAGGAATTGACCATATGCAGCGATGAGGACGAACCAGCCGACGATCTTTTTGAGCAGATGCAGGTCGAGTCTGTCAGTCAGCTAACGCCAACAAATGTTAAGTGCAAACCGATACCAGACATTGTAACAACGCCAACACCAACACCAACAACCAGCAACAACAACAGCTGCCACAATCTGAGCAGGGATCTGTCCCGGGAGCAGTTGGAGCTGAGCTTGGATCGCCAGAATTCGAATTGCAGTCGCAGCCAATATGGTTCGCCGCTTCCATTTCCCAACAGCCAAAGTCAGCGGCGCAGCTCCACGCCCACAATGCCCACCACTAGCATCAGCAGCAGATCGGCCAGATCTCTGGCACCTCAAACACATTCCCATTCGCAATCGCAACTGGCGCGATCCAATCGACGCTCCATGACACGAGACGATGACAACTTCTACAGCTTTGACAGCGATGAAGGTGCGTATTGCCCCAACCCGCACCAGCCCCATTATTATGCTGTATAAGTTTCTTTCAGAGAATAGCTACTATTCCATAAGTCCCTCAAGCAGTAGTCGCTATGTGGTCGAGATTTGATGTGCAATGTGGAATGTGGAACAATCAGCAGGCTCATCTCACTAAGCAACCAACTCAGAAAGCGAATCAAAAAGAACAACAGCAGATATAGCAACAAAAAAATTACTTAAAAACAAATGCAAAAAATTAATAATGGTTTAAGTACTTTATTACTATAAGAACTGTAGTTTTTTTTTTTTTTTTTTTTTTGACTTTTTTCGAATTAGATGCATTATCTTCCAACATGCAATCTTCATCCGAAAAACATAGTTTGCAGCTTAATATCAAAAGCTATTAAAATAAACACGAATCACACAGAACACCCAGAATTCGATACTCTGTCGTATAAAAGAATTTTTTTCTTCTCCTACACCTTTAAAAATAAACTTGATTTTGATCTAAGGAATAGCAAATTCAATAAAATACAAATAAATAAATAAAATATCTAATAAAACAAAAGGTTTTTATATTGTTTTTGGGAGTGATCAATAAATTGATCTTGGTTTAGAATAGGGCTTAGCCAAATCAAGAAAGAACTGTAATTTCGTCTGTTTTTGTTTTTACTTTTTGTATAACTTTAATGTGTTCGAATTCTTCAAAACAAATATATATGTATATATATATATGTGCACATATGCATATATTTGATTAATGTGCCACCAAATGGGGTAGCTTGAGGGCTCATTCGCCCTGAACTGATACCCACCCTCGATCCGCGCTTAACGGGGGTTGCATACGATCGTTAGGGTCACGGATCAGGGTGGCTGACAACCCTACCCTACAGGCACCACCAAAAGTGCATGCACCCCTATCCCAGAAGGGATTCCTGCCTGACCGGCTAACTTTGACTGCTTCGCTGAGCGCATTTCAATTGATAATTTATGCTAATTATTTAATTAAAACCAGTCACTGGCCATAGAAGTAAATATAAAGAGGGTTAGCTCGACGATCGGCTTTCAACTGTTAAAATACATTAAAGGAGGCAAGCTAAAAATATATTAGCTAAGAAAGGAAAATAACAAAAATTAAATTGTTTAAATTGTATGAATTCACAAAGTGAGTACGAATATATGTTAGGCTAGGGTATCAACTAGTCGGGCACTCTCGCACTTGTTTTATTTGAAAGTTGAAAACTTTAGTTGCCTGAGTTGCTTGCAGTCCAGTGTTAAATTTATTCCATGTGACATTTTCTCGATGCAATGCCGCAATTTGTAAATTGCTGTTTATAGATCCTGTCTTTTGGCCTTGGCCCATCAGCATCAACATCATCTGCAATGTGTGGCAATTGAACCCCATTTCCCTCACTTTCCATGCTTCCTGCCTGTCACTTAAGCCAGCTTGGTCAACAATGCTCTCTATCTCTTTCTCTCTCTTATCCCCACCGTCCCTCCCTATCTCACTCTCTTGTTCCGATTTTACACAGCTGCGCTTCATTAGGCAGCGATTTTCTCTCATTTTTATGTTGCAGCTATGACCTGGTAGCTGCTGCCTTTATGACTAATTCGATTGTTCAGCGCGGCTGTGGAACGTGCCTAATTAAAAATAAAAGAAAATGGCTTATAGTAGTTTCTCAACATGCCCGCATTCGAGCGCATTAAATGCCAATAAATTTTGTAAATTAAGTAAGCACGTTGAGGGGTGGAGGGTGTGAGTGGAATTCGCTAGAAGCAATACACACATTGAATACGTTGACCAGCAGATTCCCAGCGCCACTTCATCGAGCATCAGATCATTGACATTTGAGCAATTAATTTAAACGCCGTTTAAGAACAACAACTGCTGCGGAGAAGCTCCGCTCCTAATCCTAAATGAACCGAAATATGCAGATCAAATGGTATACACACAATAGGGCAAAACAAATATGAAAGAATCACTTCTTCTGTTCAGTCAAGGTTTAAATATATCCCCCGACACGCAGAACAACATCGCCCTATATTTTAGTAAATCACCTTAAAAAATGTAAGGTTTTTCTTGCTTAGAAAAAATGAGGAAAAAATATTGCTAAAATGAATAAATCGACAATCTGAAAAATATGGTATTTTTGTTCTTTTTTATTTACTTACTTTTTAAATAAAGAAATTCAAGCCCTGGTTTTAGAAAGCAAGAACCATCTATTTTAGAAATTTACTTTCTGAATAATATGGGGACCAACCCTTGGCGATTTACTAAAATTTGATGCGATTTTCTTATGAGTGTATATACACCATAGCCCACAACAAATATGACACAAGCAGTTCTTCTGCTCAGACAATGTACAAATATATATATATATATACCCTATATATACATACATAGTAACTTTATTCACTTATAAGTCTTATATCTCTTTTTATCGTGTGCTGTGTGTGCCGAACAACCCTCGGCTGCAAAGTTATTTGACATGCGACTGGCAACTGGCAGCAGGGAATTGGACACTGGGCACTGGGACGACTGGCAACGGGTCGGTCTCATCGGTGGTGCACCCCTCCTACCCACCATCCCTCTAGCCATAGCCCTATCTGAGTTTGTTGTTGTCATGCATGCAATTCCCTCAGTAGTTTGGTCTGCTGCTCTCCTTACCCCACCTTCCTGCTTGGCAACGTGCCTCTTTCACCGCTCGTCTAATCAAACTGCATTTGCAAGCAAGTAAGAATGCTGCCGTCGGATGAGCACGACTGAAATGTACCCTATTGTAATTATATTGTCAAATTTACATTTAAATATATTTCCACACTCAAATATACACTTAGACTAAAAATCGGGGCTTTCTTTTCTTAATTTCAAGGTACACTTGTCTAAAATTTAGATATTTCTAAAAGCAACTCTAAAATTCGATTTTTTCCGCTAATATGAATAAACATTAGTATTCGCTTTTATTTATATGATTCATATAATTGAATTTGAAAGAAAACTTACGATTGAATCACTTTTCACTGAGTTACTCGACCTCTAAGGCAGAAAATAGCTAAACTCTAATATAGAAGCCGATCCAGTAAATTTCATTACCAATTTCTGCATTTAAGAAAGATTTTTTGCATTTATACTTTTGAGAAATGCATTTCTAAAAATATATATATATATATAAAACACCATATTTTTGGGATATTCGGTATAGGACAAGTCATTTGTTTTGAAATTTGTTTCTTTTAGTTACAAATTAGTGTCCTTCTGGCTGTTACATACTTTTGCATAAAACCATCACACTCTTTGTAGCCATTTTTAATGGGTTGAGGGTATAAGAATTCAACCACCGGGTTTGGTTGGATTCGTCAATGGCTGTTTTTTTGTTTTTTTGTTTTTTTGTGTCTTTCTGTCGGAACAAAATGCACACAATGAAATGATAAAATGAATTGGCATGAATCACGGTTTCGGTCTACTTTGTTATGCATGCTCGAGGAGTATTTCTACACAAAGACCATCCCTTTCCCCCGCGACTCTTAACCCAGCAGGTTGTTAGGAAGACTAGCTAAATGTTCTCTTCGTATAAAGAAGACCGGACATTCCCATTATTTTCTATGGAGTCTCATGGAAACATGATGGAAATGTATGATGAATAAGGATGAAGGAATAAGTGAAAATCTTCTATGATGATCTGATTGGGTTATATGCCGATCGAAAGGTTAAGAATATTCGTCCTTAGCTCTATGAGTAATACTTCTGAACTGATTTGTCAATTATATATATAATTCTTATATAGAAGTGCTGGCGATTTTATTTTATATTTGACAATGGGCAACAGACACTGTTAGCAACGGCAATAATGTTCAATTGAATAATAAATAAAGAAAATAACAAAAACCAAATTGCATATGAAAACACAAAGCAAAATTCTAATGAGCAATCTAATCGAATGGCATTGTGTATATATATATACATATATATATATATATACATGTGACTCAGCCGACCCACATTAATATATACGAATACAATAGCACATAAATTGGACACCTTGCGCCTTGAAATATCTTAATTTGCTAAATGCTGGCAGACACTTTCCCGGGGGGAAGCGACGGGGAGGGGGATGGGGTGGACATAGAGAGACGGAGGACAATTTACTGGTTTGGCATCAAAAGTTGAATGCACCGCAGTGCAGTAAATGCTCAAAGGCCATAATGACGATGATGATAATGAAGTGATGACTATGCTGGCGATGATGATGACAATGATAATGACGTTGATAGCAGCAGCTGTGCAATGTAAATGCTAATAAAACGGAAATTTGAGGTTAAAATTAACAGCAAATCAGCACAAAACAAGTCAGAATATTGCAGTCAAGTCAGTACGACGACGATTTACCCTATTGTAGTTAAATTGTTACAACATTTTCCTTTAAAATATCGCATAAGTAAAAGCTATAAATGCGGACATTTGCATTATATTTTGTGTACAAACGCTAATTTAAACAAAGCAAATGTATTGCTTCACAAAAGCCATATGAAACGGGGGCAGTTATCGATAAGAATTAAATAATCTTGATCTGCCCCGAGTATACGAGAATCTATATTCCAAATTTGAAGTATCTATCTCTTAAGGTATCTAAAACGTCGATCCTAATCAAGCATATATATATATATATATATATATATATATAATATATTATATACTTTTGCACACAACCGTTATACCCCTTTTTAACCCATTTTTAATTGGTTCAGGGTATCAAAAAAGAAGAAATTAACGATTTCATGGCATATGTATGTCAAGTAATAAGTGCATATATATAAGCATATACACATATCTAAATGAGCTGGCTCGGAGGCCACTATATCAAACCAAGGTCAATAGTGCAATCAAAACTTACTTGTGCACATTATTCTTGTTGGCTGCTTATGTGTTCATATTATTATTAATGAGAATAATAAATAGTCATCAGCCAAATAATAATAGAATGACTAATTTTGTGAGCTGTATAACTGCATCTGCCTGTTTCCACACAGTGGCAAATACAGAGAATTTGAATGAATTCTCAATTCACTCAATCATTGTAATCACTTTCACTTCCGATGTGTCTAGTTTTGTTGAATTCGATGAGACATCCATACTTTAGGACTTACGTCAGCATTTACACATTCAGAAAAATAATATCGTTGTTTTAGATGTGTTTACACAATAGAAGAATTCTTATATTGGCTTTTTCTTATTTATGTTTGGGCTAGCACTTTTAATTTTTATAATCGATAAATATATATATTTTGTTTAAGATTTTTATAAAATGTAGGTCGATGTTTTTTCTGAGTGTATGCGCTTGGTGGTATCAGAGTGGCACAACAAGCAATTAGTGGCGAATGCAGCATTTCTTTTAGCCATTTGATGTGTGCAACTGTGCCACATGAATGGTTAGTTGATGCTAGTCTGATCGGGTCGGTTTGGGTCGGGTCGGTTTAGGCCAGACCACTTAAAAGTGCAATGCACTCGACAACGA